ATTATCACTTATAACAAAAAATAAAAACATATGGAGATGTGATGTCTGGTTTTACAATGTGTCACTAAAAATATTAGGATAAACATAACCCTTAAACAATAAACCAAAACAAAAGAAATAGAATTATTAGAAGAATTAACAAGGGTTAGTATTGTTAAATTAGAAAAAAAAAACAAGAACTTGGAATGAATTGACCCAGAATTTTGTAAAATATTAAGATGTTTGATCATTGCATGTTCGGTGTTCGAACCAAAGCATTTTTTTTTGTCAACGACCAAAACTTAGAGGATACTGTTTTGGGTCAGGCATTACAGGGTGTGGGTGGAGGTTTGGGGGTGGGGCCCGGCGTGAGGGAAGATGACCCCTTTTGACTTGGATCCTATTATAGAGGCTGTGATGAATCAACAGAAAAAGAGGAAGAGAGTTATTCAGAAAGAAAGGCAGTGGAGTGCTTTGAACCGCAGAGTAATCGACCAAGGAAAATGGTATGTTTTGAGGCGGAGGAGAACAGCCTTAAGGGGTCTCCTAAGTCCCCATGAAGCTAATTTGTTGGAACTGTCAGGATATCGGGGGTGACCTGACAGTTAACTACTTGATGGAGCAGAATAGGCTCCACATCCCTGATATAGTGATTCTGTTGGAGACAAAAAATCGAAGTAATCGCTATGTGTATTTAAAACAAAGGCTTAGGATGAATTTTATGCATGCTGTTGAACCAAGGGGAATAGCTGGTGGGATGTGTATTTTTTGGCGAAACTATGATCATGTTTTATTTGTCAAATATGCGGATTTCTTTATTGAAGTTGGTATTTATGACAGGCAGAAAAATGACCAATGGAGGTTATTCGCGGTATATGCAAGTGCGGATGAAAAAAAAGAAGAAAGGAGCAATGGAGGATGTTATCTAGGAGGATTGAGGCAGCAGGTGATAAGTGTTTACTTATTGGTGATTTTAATGACATTATTGATGACTCTGAGAAGGAAGGTGGGAATAATAGGTCTGTGGCTAGTAGACGTGACTTTTGTGATTTTATAGTTGGTAATGGCCTGCTTGACTTGGGGTTTATGGGATATCCATATATATGGATGATGTGAAATAAGTTAAGCACTCAAATTAAACTCTCTTGTTGTCAAATTGTAGTATAAATGCAAGTAGGGATCGTTAAACTGGGATTAGGAGGGCTTGCTAAAACCTCTAAACTGACTCAAAAACATAAAAAAACAAAGTTAAAAACGTTTGAATAGACTCAAAGGACTCAAAACAGGTTCACAAGACTCAAAACAACTTAAAAACACTCAAAACTGCCTAAAAACACAAACTAGGCAGTTTCTGACTCTAAACACAACTTTGGATGAATTTAGGGTTTTGGCTTGACTAAAAACACTCAAAAACACAAACAAAACATATTGTAAACACTTTGAGACAAGAAAGTGTTGGAAGTATGCCCACAAAGCCACTTATTTGATGTAATAGCTTTTGGAATACTTATTGTATTAAACTATTATATGTTTAATGAAGGGCAAAGCTTATTGTTAATCACTATTTATTGTATCATGTGTTTAAGCAATAAGGGAATCCAAGGAAAGTATTTAATCCGAGAGAGAAGTGATCTAAGTAAGTTAGATTAACGAGACCTTTCTCTTATGTTCATTCCTAAAACGTTCCTAGCCATAGGATTGCCAATTGGGCATTGACAATCTGCTAAGGTTAGTATGTGTTATGTCAACTCAAGCGTGAGTATGACTAGTCTCAAGTCATTTAGTGTTGGACACTAAGACAAACACGTAGGTGCTCGAAAGGGTAATCAAGTACACTAAACAACGATCAAAAGAGAGTTTGAACATACATGTCATGTAAGAACTCATAAGTTGCAATATGCAAAATAGTCTTTTGACCTGAGGCATCATAGATGTCTAATGGTTAGGTCCTTGATCTTTGATCATGTCAAAGGCATTCCATCGAGAGTGTCCATGGCATTGTTGGGGTCAAGATATCTAGTCATGTAGACATATGAATGCACAACAAGGGATCTCTAACCTTCCAAGGTGGAGGGAGAATACTCTAAGATATGATTCGGGAGTCTTTGACCAAAGCATATGAATATGACTTAGGAAGTTTCTTCCAAATCATATTCAATTGAATTATGTAAAGAAGTATCACACTGGATAATAGACATGAAACAAACTATCACTCAAACAATGTGATTAAGAGTATTGTATTAGAAAAGGACCGTATTGCATTGTAATTGTAACTGGATAGGTTCTCCAACCACTTCTACTTAGCTTGGGTAGCCATGGCATACTGCTAGGTGTCACTCATGGTTTGTGGAAGCCCTGAAGATTAGCAAACACTAATCTTCATCAAAGGGAGAATTGAAATGTTGTTTCAATTCACAATCGATCGTTAAGAGTAACAATCGCCCATTACCTCTGTTGATGATATGTTTTAAACCTTCCTAATGCTAAAACATATTGAGTATAATAGCACAAGTAAGGGTGTCGAATCCACAGGGACTAATTGGACCTATATAATCACTTGTTTTGCAAGAACCATATGAAATGACTAAACTAGGCAACTTTAGACAGATTTGTTGTTGTAACTTAAAAACTCACAAGAATGATGACAACACAAGTAATGAATCAACAAGTAATAAAATGGAATAAAACCAATGGAGATGGAACTAGGGATTCGGTTTCACCATAGCTAAATTAATCCCATGTTTGTTAAATCAGTTTATGCTCATTCATTCACCTATTTCTTGAGTTTGTTTCACTTAGATATGATCAACCATATGATGTGTGGATTTGATCAAATCATCCTAGTCAAGAACCAAATTGTGATGTGCAACTTTGGTTCTCAACCAAGGATGTTTTATACATATGAAACTTTCACAAAACCAAAGGGGACACACGGCATGATGTTTGCCAAACATCCCCTTCATTCACTCCCAAATCTGCCAAAATTATGCATGATGTGTGTGCTTCTAATTTTGGCTACACAACCTGTGGTTAATTCAAGTGGTGATCAAGCATTAAAATCAACACACAAAGTCACAATAAAATCAGAGAATGAAACAAGAAATAGAAGGATCAAATGAGCATTATGAGTTAACTACATGGTTTTCTTGCTAGGCTACATCGAATCCCTAAGAGGAGATTAGTTACATTTCATGTTTACAAACGTTTTAACATAGAAATACATAACATGAATGAACATAGAATTGAGAAGAAGGAACCCTTGAAGCAAAACTGATGTTGAAATCCTTTAAGTGTAGCCTTCGGTCTTGATTCTCCAAATGTGATGCAACATGAAAGATGAGCAGCTTGTGGATGGGTGGTTTGTTTTAAATGGGAGAGAGGGTGGTCAGAAATTTGGATGGCTAAGTGAGTGAATGGTGGTGTTGCGGATGGGATAGAGAATGGACACAAAATGGAGTTTCTTGGTGTGTGAATGAGAGTGTGACCGAGAGAGCTTGAAGTGAGATTGCATGGACTTTAAATTGAAGTCCTAATGAGAACATGCAGCTGGAATTAGAGTAATGCATCTGCCAATCTGAAATGATGATGAATTTAAGTGATTTCTGAGGTGGTAAGGCACGGCATGTTGAAACACAAGCATGTGTAGGACTTATTTAATTCAAGAGGCATGTGCAATGGCTGCAATGTGCAGTGGACAACCAGAAATTGTTTTCCACATGCTGGAAAGGGAAAGAAAGGCACGGCATGGCTTGGTTTGGATGTGCAAAGGTGGCTGAATGACTTAGATTAATGAAGACACATGCATTGCTGCAAAAGGGAGTTGGAAAAGGTAAGGCAATGCACGGCAAGGTGTGAACATGCATGTAATCACATGTTGTTGAGGTGTAAATGGAAGGGAAATCACGGCAGGTTTGAACACATGCATGTGATTGCATGTTTTGATGTTTAAAGGAAATGGAAGGCACGGCACAAATTGTGAACATGCATGTGATTGCATGTTTTGGAACCACCTAAGTTAATTCCAATGTTTTTGCCTTGTCTTGTCTCACCCAATATGGCCGAATGCCACCTTACACCTCCAAATGTGATCCTGAAATTCCATGCAGCCAAGTAACTTCTAAAATCCTCATTTGAAACTTCAAATTGACTCCACAAGAACCTTCTCCACGTTTGGGATAATGCTCAGCTACCAAAAAGGGGTGATTTTACTTCATTTGCAATCCAATTGATCCTAAAACACACTTGGCTGCACACTAGCACAAAATAATGTAAAAACACAACTAGTTTGATTCAAAAACATCACAAAAATGCCAATTAAAGATGATATAAATGTACACAAAGTGTGTACATCAAATACCCCCAAACCTGGTTTTTGCTAGTCCACGAGCAAACTTAAAACTAAAACACACACAACACACAAAACATTCATGTATGTTGGTTAAAACATGCTTTACACCAAATAATAAGAACCAAAGAAAACTTTGCCATACATCCAAACTCAAAAGTTTTCTACTCCAAAGAATTATATCAATTGTGATGTATAAAGATATTTCTACATGCCTTACAACTTCAAGGCCACCATACCCAAATGCTTAAGAAAGAAATCGCCTCAACTCTACTCCTCACAGCTTCCACTCAATTTCTCACTCAGATCCTAAGGTTCAGTCTCTTCACAACATATATGAGTGAAATTATGTAAAGGCAATCAAAATTCTCACATATGAAATCCGAAATGGGAGCACAATTTCTGAGTAGATCTCATGAAATGAATCAAATGCTAAGAATAAAAATAACATACACTTACCATCACCCATGAATACATCCTCAATGATCAGCTAGGTCTTTCTCAAGATTGTAATGCAAGGCTTAGGTTAAAGGTTAAGAAAGAAGGGATATGAAATACTAGAGCTTGGGGAATACCAAAGTGTCCTTGAGGATCATGCTCTTCACTTGCATTTGCCTTCTTTCTTCTTTTGGCGTCCAGGCCCTAAACCTTATAAAGAGGAGATTTGGAACTTGTATCCACTTTGATTCTTTTTTTTTTATAACTTTTATGCTTAGAAACAACTTTCACATAGGTGCCCTCGGTACACGCCACAATCTTGATCTCTCACTCAATTTACCTTAAGCTTTCATCAAATTGGTATTCCCCAAACTATAAGGTATGGCTTATATTGAGCTAGAATGGGTAGAGTATGGTGCGGGTGATGAAAGAATTAGGCTAAAGTGTTTGGCTGCAACAATGGTGAATGGAGCACACAAAGGGATAGGATTTAAGCCTTTTAGTAGTTAAAACATGCATAGCCTAACATCATTTCATTGAGTTCATTCATGAATGATACCAAACACATGGTATCTGCAAAATAGAGTAATTCTTAGCATCCAAACAAAATAGAAGTAAAGAGATCATTTAAAGTGAAATTGAAAGAAAAAGATAGGAGTTGAAACACTTTAAACCCTCTAAAAGAAGCAATTAAGCTCAAAATAACTCACTAGGGTAGTCTCCACTATTCTTCTTCCAGAATTTGAGTATGGTACCTCTATCATCATATCTCCAAGAATTACATCTTTATACAAGACACAAGATACAAAATTTTTTTATAGCAACCCAAAAGTTTGTTTGCAAACATAGTCCTCATAAGCATTCGAATTAGTAAGCAAAAGCACACTTAACCAAAACAAACACAAAAACAAACCTTCCATCCCAAAATACCCCCAAACCTATGGTAAGCATTGTCCTCGATGCTTAAAATTGTATGCAATTCAAGTAGGTAAATAATATGGAATGGTAACAACATAAACACAACATGAAGATAGAATACAAACCACACTAGGTTGCCTCCTAGCAAGCGCTTTATTTAATGTCTAGGCAAGACATGGAACTTGTTCATGGTGTTGTAAACTCAAGAAAATCGACAATTTGATACACTTGCCCTTCCTCCTCTTGTTGCAAATATGGTTTCAATCTCTGTCCATTGACTTTGAAAGAGGTGCCATTCTTCATGTTCTCTATCTCCACAGCTCCGTGGGGAAATGTTTGCAACACTTTGAATGGTCCTACCCATCTAGACTTCAATTTACCTGGAAAAAGTCTCAAACGTGAGTCATACAAAAGTACTTTCATACCTTGGTGAAACTCCTTCCTTAGGATGGCTTTGTCATGATAGAGCTTAGTCCTTTCCTTGTAAATTTTGGCATTTTCATATGCCTCATTTCTGAGCTCTTCCAACTCATTAAGTTGGAGCTTCCTTGCTATTCCAGCATCCTTGTAATCAAAGTTGAACTTCTTAATGGCCCAATATGCTCGGTGTTCAAGCTCCATTGGCAAATGACAAGCTTTCCCAAACACAAGACGATAAGGACTCATGCCAATGGGGGTCTTGTACGCTGTTCTATATACGCCCAAAGTGCATCATTCAACCTCAACGACCAATCCTTCCTTGTGGGGCTCACAGTCTTCATCAAAATGTTTTTGATCTCCCTATTGCTAATCTCCACTTGTCCTGAGGTTTGAGGATGGTACGGGGTTGCCACTTTGTGGTTGATGTTGTACTTCCTCATCAATGATTCAAAGGGTTTGTTGCAGAAATGGCTGCCACCATCACTAATAATAGCTCTTGGCGTTCCAAACCTACAAAAAATCACATCTTTAATAAAGTGCAAAACAACCTTATGATCATTAGTTCTTGTAGCAATGGCTTCAACCCATTTGGATACATAATCAACTGCCACTAATATGTATAAGTAGCCAAAAGATGATGGAAATGGTCCCATGAAGTCGATTCCCCAAACATCAAAAAGCTCTACCACCAAAATGTTGTTCAATGGCATCTCATTTCTTCGGCTAATGTTCCCCATCTTTTGGCACCTATCACAATTAGAACAAAAATCAAAAGCATCTTTGAATAAAGTAGGCCAAAAGAAACCAGATTGTAAAACTTTAAGAGATGTCTTTTTGGCACCAAAATGTCCGCCACATGCCAATGTATGACTGAACGTTAGAATGCTTTGTTGTTCACTCTCTGGGACACATCTCCTAATGAGTTGATCAGGGCAATATTTAAACAAATATGGTTCGTCCCAAACGTAGTGCTTGACCATGGCAAGGAACTTTTTTCTTTCCTGAAAAGAAATGTCATTTCTCATTACACCACAAGCAAGATAATTAACGAAATCAGCATACCACGGTTCTTTTTCTTGAACAACAAGGAGTTGTTCATCTGGAAATGATTCATTTAGAGGCAAAGGTTGTGCAACTCCATGGTTCTCATTAAGTCTTGACAAGTGGTCAGCCACAACATTATCACTTCCCTTTTTATCTCGAACCTCCAAGTCAAACTCTTGTAGTAAAAGTATCCATCTAATTAAGCGTGGTTTAGCATCCTTCTTTGTCATCAAATACCTAAGGGCTGCATGATCAGAAAACACAATAACTTTAGATCCCACAAGGTATGACCGAAACTTCTCTAAAGCAAAAACAATAGCAAGCAACTCCTTTTCAGTTGTGGAATAGTTAAGTTGAGCATCATTTAGAGTCCGACTTGCATAGTAGATCACGTGTGGAAGTTTGTTCACCCTTTGCCCTAAAACTGCACCAATAGCATAGTCAGAGGCATCACACATTAATTCAAAAGGTAAAGACCAATCTGGTGCCATAATAAATTGGGGCCGAGGTTAATTCCTGTTTCAAAGTTTTGAATGCATCCATACAAGCTGTATCAAAATGAAATGCAACATCTTTAGCTAATAGATTGCATAATGGACGAGTGATCATTGAAAAGTTCTTAATGAAACGTCGATAAAAACCCGCATGTCCCAAAAAACTTCTCACTCCCTTCACGGTTGTGGGAGGTGCCATCTTGGTGATTATGTCAATTTTGGCTTTGTCCACCTCCATTCCTTTGCTAGAGATTACATGTCCCAACACAATTCCTTGTTTCACCATGAATTGGCATTTTTCCCAATTGAGAACCAAATTTGTTTCCTGACATCTTTGAAGTACTAAAGAGAGATGGTTAAGACATTCATCAAAAGAAGAACCAAACACTGAAAAGTCATCCATAAATACCTCAATGAATCTTTCTACCATGTCAGAAAAGATGGCCAACATACATCTTTGGAAAGTTGCTGGAGCATTGCAAAGTCCAAATGGCATTCTCCTATATGCAAATGTGCCAAAGGGGCAAGTAAAGGTAGTTTTCTCTTGATCCTCTGGAGCAATTGCAATTTGATTGTAACCTGAGTAACCATCCAGAAAACAATAATGTGAGTAACCTGCCAATCTCTCAAGCATTTGATCTATGAAAGGCATAGGAAAGTAATCTTTTCTAGTGCTAGAATTCAACTTCCTGTAATCAGTGCAAACACACGCCAACTGGCTGTGGGCTTTGTGGGCACAAGCTCTTTGTTTTCATTTGTCATCACTGTGATTCCCACCTTCTTGGGTACCACCTGAATAGCACTCACCCATTTGCTATCAGAAATGGGATATATGATTCCCACATCTAACAACAACTTCAACACTTCACTCCTCACCACTTCCTTCATGTGTGGATTGAGTCTTCTTTGTGGTTCACGGGTTGTCTTTGATCCATCCTCCAAAAGAATCCTATGCATGCACATGGTAGGGCTTATTCCCTTGATATCTGCAATAGACCATCCAATAGCTGATTTAGACTCTTTTAACACTCTCATTAGCTTATCTTCTTCATTTGGATTTAGGTCAGAAGCTATGATAACTGGAAGAGTTTCAAATTCAGCTAGATATGCATATTTTAAGATGTGGTGGAAGTGGTTTAAGTTCAAGTTTTGGTGCCTTAACAATGGAAGGAATTAAATGTGACCTAGATGGTTCTAAATGCTCTACAAGAGGTGAAACATTTAAAGGATACGGTGCCAATGCTTCCAAGGCAGCTACTACTTTCATGAGTGCATCTTCTTCATCAAACTCATCTTGAGATTGAGTCAAAACAGTTTGTAATGGTTCACTAGATTGTGCCTGCAAGAACTTAGAGAAAACAAGTGAATCAAGCACATCAATGGCATAGCACTCAAGAGATGAAGAAGGATGAGAAAGAGACTCAAACACTTTAAATTGCACGGTCTCTCCTAGCACTGTCATAGTGAGGAGTCCGTTTTGCACATCAATGATAGTCTTGGCCGTGGCCATGAATGGTCTTCCAAGCAAAATAGGCAACTCTCTATCATGTATAGGAGCTTCTTCCATGTCCAACACTACAAAATCCGCAGGCAAGATTAGTTTATCAATTTGAACTAGAATATCCTCTACTATACCTCTTGGATACTTCACGGATCTGTCTGCAAGTTGTAATGAAATGGTGGTGGCTTTCAATTCCCCCAAACCTAGTTGAAGGTACACAGAATAAGGCATTAAATTGATGCTAGCACCCAAATCAAGCATTGCTTTTTCAACTTTATTTTCTCCTATAGTAATGTTGATAGAGAAACTCCCTGGATCTTTGAGCTTTGGTGGAAGTTTTCTTTGCAACACTGCACTTACATTCTCAGACACCACTACCTTCTCATGTGGTCCATACTTCCTTTTGTAGTTGTTTAACTCTTTGAAGAATTTCCCATAAGCTGGCATGTTCCTAATGACATCAAGCAAAGGTAAGTTAACATTCACTTTACTTAGAATATCAAAAATGTCCTTAAATGACTTATCCTGCTTGCTTTTGGCAAGTCTTCCAGGGAATGGTATTGGTGGAGTATAAGGCTTCTCGGCCTTGTGAAGATTTGGTGCTTCAAATGAGGAATTGGCAGGGCTTGGTTCCTCATTTGGTTTCTCATTTTCTCCTTGAGTAACCCCTGCATTCACATGATCAAATTCATTAGTAACTTCATTACCAACTCTATTATTGATAACCTTACCACTTCTAAGTGTAGTGATTGCTTTGGCTTGCTCTTGGTTCCTTTGAAGCATCACGGGTTGGCTTGGAAACTTTCCAATTTCTCTTTGGTTCAAGGCATCCGCAATCTGTCCCAATTGTGTCTCCATTTTGGTTAGGGCAGCCGAATGTTGTTGGAAAGTGCTATTGGTAGCTTGTTGGAATTGCAAGGTGTTTTGAGCTAACAACTTAACCGTATCCTCAAGTGTAGTGGCCGGTTTTGGTTGGAAGTTTTGGAATTGATTTTGATTTTGATTGTTGTTCCTCCATGAAAGATTGGGATGATCTCTCCAACTTGGGTTATATGTGTTTGAATACACATCATTCCTTGGCCTTTGATTGTAAGAATTCATGAGGTTCACTTGTTCTTGGACAAATTCGGGGTAGGCTTCTTTAGATGGACATTGATGAGTAAGGTGGTTTGGTATGTTGCAAATGGCACACACCTCATTTGCTTTTGGCACCATGTTGAGCACGGCTTCAAGCTTCTTCTCTAGGTTAGCTACCTGCAAGGAAAGTTCATGATTAGAATTTGTTTCATACACTCCAACTTTCTTACCCCTTAGATCTTTGTGTTGAGCATTAGACCCCAACATCTCATAAATGTTATATGACTCTTGAGCATTCTTTTTCTTCAAAGCTCCACCTGCTGCATTATCAACAGTTGATTGACATGTTTGGGTTAGTCCATCATAGAAAATTTGCATTTGTAAATGAAAAGGTAACCCATGGTGTGGACATTGCAACAAAAGGCCTTTAAAACGCTCCCAACACTCATTGAAAGGTTCTCCATCATCTTGTTTGAAATTGAAGATTTGTCCCCTTAATGTGGCTGTCTTTTGAGTGGAGAAGAACTTCTCCAAGAACTTCTTAGCCACGGCATCCCAAGTGATGAGGGAACCCGGTGCTAGAGTCATCAACCAACTCTTGGCCCTATCTTTCAATGTGTAAGGGAATACTCTCATCCTCAAATTTGCTTCACTTACTCCCTGCAAAGGTAAACCACTCACAACATTATAGAATTCTTTCACATGAGCTAAAGGATCTTCATTAGGTAAGCCATAAAACGAGGGAAGCATATGAAAATGTGAAGATTTAAGATCATAGTTTCTAGCTTCGGTGGGCAGCAAGATGCATGAAGGAGAATTTGGTATGATTGGTTGAGCAAAGTCCTCCAAAGCTCGAAGTTCATCTTGGTTGTCCGCCATCTCTTCTTCTCTTTCCCAATTAATGTGCTTAGATCCTTCACTTGTTGAACTAGGCGAATTCCCTTCCTCTTCTTCACGGAAATTGGGTGAATTTGTTGGCACAAAGTTGTCAAAAGTATTGCTCTTTAACCGTTCAATTCTTTGGCCTAACTCAACAAGTCTATTTGACATAAACTTCCTGAAAACAAAACAAACAAGTTTGAATATAAATTAGCACTCTACTTAAAATAAACATAACAAGGGTTCATAACTAAACAAGCAATTACAAGGGACTGAAATCAGTCCCCGGCAACGGCGCCATTTTTTTGTTGATGATATGTTTTAAACCTTCCTAATGCTAAAACATATTGAGTATAATAGCATAAGTAAGGGTGTCGAATCCACAGGGACTAATTGGACCTATATAATCACTTGTTTTGCAAGAACCATATTAAATGACTAAACTAGGCAACTTTAGACAGATTTGTTGTTGTAACTTAAAAACTCACAAGAATGATGACAACACAAGTAATGAATCAACAAGTAATAAAATGGAATAAAACCAATGGAGATGGAACTAGGGATTCGGTTTCACCATAGCTAAATTAATCCCATGTTTGTTAAATCAGTTTATGCTCATTCATTCACCTATTTCTTGAGTTTGTTTCACTTAGATATGATCAACCATATGATGTGTGGATTTGATCAAATCATCCTAGTCAAGAACCAAATTGTGATGTGCAACTTTGGTTCTCAACCAAGGATGTTTTATACATATGAAACTTTCACAAAACCAAAGGGGACACACGGCATGATGTTTGCCAAACATCCCCTTCATTCACTCCCAAATCTGCCAAAATTATGCATGATGTGTGCTTCTAATTTTGGCTACACAACCTGTGGTTAATTCAAGTGGTGATCAAGCATTAAAATCAACACACACAAAGTCACAATAAAATCAGAGAATGAAACAAGAAATAGAAGGATCAAATGAGCATTATGAGTTAACTACATGGTTTTCTTGCTAGGCTACATCGAATCCCTAAGAGGAGATTAGTTACATTTCATGTTTACAAACGTTTTAACATAGAAATACATAACATGAATGAACATAGAATTGAGAAGAAGGAACCCTTGAAGCAAAACTGATGTTGAAATCCTTTAAGTGTAGCCTTCGGTCTTGATTCTCCAAATGTGATGCAACATGAAAGATGAGCAGCTTGTGGATGGGTGGTTTGTTTTAAATGGGAGAGAGGGTGGTCAGAAATTTGGATGGCTAAGTGAGTGAATGGTGGTGTTGCGGATGGGATAGAGAATGGACACAAAATGGAGTTTCTTGGTGTGTGAATGAGAGTGTGACCGAGAGAGCTTGAAGTGAGATTGCATGGACTTTAAATTGAAGTCCTAATGAGAACATGCAGCTGGAATTAGAGTAATGGATCTGCCAATCTGAAATGATGATGAATTGAAGTGATTTCTGAGGTGGTAAGGCACGGCATGTTGAAACACAAGCATGTGTAGGACTTATTTAATTCAAGAGGCATGTGCAATGGCTGCAATGTGCAGTGGACAACCAGAAATTGTTTTCCACATGCTGGAAAGGGAAAGAAAGGCACGGCATGGCTTGGTTTGGATGTGCAAAGGTGGCTGAATGACTTAGATTAATGAAGACACATGCATTGCTGCAAAAGGGAGTTGGAAAAGGTAAGGCAATGCACGGCAAGGTGTGAACATGCATGTAATCACATGTTGTTGAGGTGTAAATGGAAGGGAAAGCACGGCAGGTTTGAACACATGCATGTGATTGCATGTTTTGATGTTTAAAGGAAATGGAAGGCACGGCACAAATTGTGAACATGCATGTGATTGCATGTTTTGGAACCACCTAAGTTAATTCCAATGTTTTTGCCTTGTCTTGTCTCACCCAATATGGCCGAATGCCACCTTACACCTCCAAATGTGATCCTGAAATTCCATGCAGCCAAGTAACTTCTAAAATCCTCATTTGAAACTTCAAATTGACTCCACAAGAACCTTCTCCACGTTTGGGATAATGCTCAGCTACCAAAAAGGGGTGATTTTACTTCATTTGCAATCCAATTGATCCTAAAACACACTTGGCTGCACACTAGCACAAAATAATGTAAAAACACAACTAGTTTGATTCAAAAACATCACAAAAATGCCAATTAAAGATGATATAAATGTACACAAAGTGTGTACATCAGCCTCGCTAATTGGAACCTAATGGATCGTACACCGAGTAAGGATGAAAGTAAAGAAATATAAATGAGATGGATAAGCGATTAAATGGTTTAATTGAGAATGGTCAAGATTAATTAATTAGTTAATTAATTTTACGAAAGGTTCGTATTGGGCTTTTAAGTTGGTTTTGGGTTTCGAGGCCCAAAAGTGTTTTGGTCCACAAGGCCCATTATCACAAGGCCCATTATGTTTAAGTTGTATGACAACTAAAACAAAATGGGCAATTAGCCCAATAACAAAGACAAGGCGGGCCATAAGGGTGAGTGGAAGCAAACTTGAATTAATTACAAGTTTGCCACTCACATGTGATGTAATATAAAGTCAACTTTATAGCTTTTTCTCATTAGGGTTTTCTTAAGGCAAAGAAAAGAAACACTTTCTCTCTTTTTCTCTAAAAGGAGGCCGGCCACTTAGGGAAGAATTAGCTAGCAATCTTTTCTTCTCTAAAAGGAGACCGAAACTTATCTAAAGCAAAGACAACAGCAAGAAGTTCTTTTTTCGTTGTGAAGTAGTTCAATTGGGCCTCATTGAGAGTTCGAGAGGCATAGTATATGATATGCGGCTGCTTGTCTTTTCTTTGCCCCAAAATAGCTCCTAATACGTAGTCGGATGCATCGCACATAAGCTCGAAAGAAAGGCCCCAATCGGGAGGAATAATAATAGGGGCCGAAGTTAACTTCTCCTTGAGTTGGTTGAATGCTGATTCACTCCTCATCAAACTTGAAGGGCACATCTTTTTGAAACAATCGGCAAAGGGGGTTGGAAATCTTGGAGAAATCCTTGATGAAGCGCTTATAGAATCCTGCATGGCCAAGAAAAGAACGAACCTCTCTAACCGAAGTAGGAAAGGGTAAATGACGTACAAGGTCTATTTTTGATTTATCCACTTCAATTCCTTTTTCTGAAACGATATGGCCTAAAACTATACCTTGTTTAACCATAAAATGACATTTTTCCCAATTCAACACAAGGTTAGTTTCAACACATCGTTTCAAGATCAAGGTCAGATTATCCAAACAATTATCAAAAGAATCCCCAAACACACTGAAATCATCCATAAATACCTCAATAATTTTCTCAACATAATCAGAGAATATACTTACCATACACCTTTGGAAAGTGGCAGGTGCGTTGCATAAGCCGAATGGCATGCGACGATAAGCAAAAGTTCCAAAGGGACACGTGAATGTGGTCTTCTCTTGGTCATCCGGGGCTATCACAATTTGATTATATCCAGAATATCCATCAAGAAAACAATAAAAAGCACGACCGGCTAACTTTTCAAGCATTTGGACGATGAATGGCAAAGGAAAGTGATATTTCCTTGTTGTGGCGTTTAGCTTCCTATAGTCAATACAAACTCGCCATCCAGTTTGAATTCGTGTAGGCACCAACTCGTTCTCTTCATTCTTGACAACAGTAACTTGATATGATATTAACTAGCACTCAAATTAACCCTCTTTTTATCAATTGTAGTAAGTATGTAAGTAGGGATCGTTTTAAATTTTGTATTTTCACCAAAACCTACTTCCCCCTTTTTCACTACCCAAACCGGCCACCCTATAAAGTAGGGTACTTTTGGGGCTTTTATGCAATTACATAAAGTTTTGATACTTTTGTGTATTTGTACTTTGACCCAAAAGTTTATGTTTTTACGTAAAGACCCAAAATCACTAAAGTACAAAATGTTTTGCTCCTTTAATGAAGTTTTTGTATTTGATGAAATTTTTGGGTTCTAGTTGTAATTACATGAAGTAGTGGATTTTTGTGTTTTTACATAGTGACCTCAAAAGTTTGTGTTTTGCAATATAACCCAATGGTTGAGGTTATTGTTTTTCGGCCCAAATTAGTTGAGAACAAAATAGTTTTGTATCTTTAAATGAGAATTGGATTTTCATTCCATTTAGCTCCATTTAAATCAATTCTATGGATACAAAAACCAAATGAAAATGTTGCATTCAAGTTTAATTAGTTAAAGCGTTAATTAATTAAAGAAAGGGTGATTATGAACCTAAGCCTACGATAATTGAGCTATGTGAAAGGCCGTCTCAAATTTGTTTGAACCATGGGAATGTGTAGATTAGATTTTGGTTGTAATTTGATATGATCAAATATTGTAAAAGAGCATAAGCTCTTCTTTACTTTAAGGTAATTTGTTTTGATCAAATGTTGTAAAAGAGCATAAGCTCTTCTTTACTTTGAAGTACTTATTTCTTGCTTTATTTGATATGCATGAAAATGAAGTAGAGGGTCCAATGCCCAATAAGAAAACACGTCTTAATGTGATTAAACGCGTAACTAAAATCAATCACCATCCCTAGACCGAGATTCAACACTAGGCTCGTGTTGGATCGAATCAAAGGTTCATAGTCATCCTAAGGCCCTAAGGCAACTATATAGTCCATCAATGAATGCAAACCTTATGTTAGTAGTACCATATACTCTTTCTTTAAAAACCGTTTTACAAGCATAGTGGGAGTATCATATACAACTAAATCAATCAAATGGACCAATAGTTGTAATAGGACCAAATTGTTTTAATAAGATTAAAATGCATGCTTATATGTGATGAGACCTAAAACCCTCAACCAAACCATTATTAAGTTGATAAGCGTGAGAGTGCTTTGAACACTCTTTCGTGGCCTTCCACCGTGGTAGGCTCCGATCGTTTGTGACTCGTACACCGACTTCACCCTATCTTGGGGGAGTACAAAGTGCGTGCTTGCACTCATGAGGAGTTCTATATGCATACATGATGTTGTGAAGGTAGGCAACGAGAATGATCAACATCATATCATTGTGAGGTTGTTCTTGAACCCCTACTCGAACTTGCATGGTGGGAATGACTTAACTAAGTGCAATGGAGCCAACATCATATCATTGTGAGGCTTCATTCTCTAGAGGCCAAATAAGATGGGTACTTGCAAGAGATGCAAATGAGTAAGCGTACTCTCTCATTATTATTTATGCTAGCCAACATCATATCATTGTGAGGTGGGGTTGGTAATGATGAGTCTCCCATACCCTACTAAGAGTTTCCTCTAAAACTCTCGAATTCCGATGAGGAATATAGAATTTGCCAAAAATAGTGGATGGTGCTATTTGATTTAAAGACCCGGATCAAATGGATTAAAATCAATCAATTTATATTCGTTATGTATTTATTTACCAATATATTTGCAAACGCTATCTAAAACTTGACAAAGAAAAAGCCAAAAGCTTCAGTTTCTGGACTTGGTACTACAATCCCATAGATTGTCTTTAATGGCTTGTATATGTACCTAAGTAGTCTCATCCTCACAATCTTCCTATTGATAATGTATCATTGGAAGAATATGTTAGATAAGTCTATCATAAAGAGGACAACACTTTTAATGTCATAATTCTTCAATTACAAATTGTTGTATGAAGAAATAAGAGTTGCTTTGAACAACTCTTAGTTAACGCAAACATTAGTGCTTGTTGCTTTGTTATATGAACAAGGAACTTGAGAAGTAAGCACAAGGGCATGTACATGTTATGTGCCATGATTCTTCACTTACAAATTGTTGTATGAAGAAATGAGAGTTGCCTTTAACAACTCTTGAAAGTCTGTAATTATGTTTAGAACATAATGGTTGGTTGACAAAAATAGTCCATCAACATGGACTTATGATGATTTTTGAATTGAG